TTATAGCTGTAGGGGGCCATGACATGTGTAGTTATGCCCTATGCCTTTCTAGAACCCTCTCCTCTTAATTTAAACAGATCTCCCACCAGAAACTCAAATAAGGTATTTGGATTTGGACTTGGAGGTTGAGTAGAATTCTTCTGGAAACCTTGAACCCTAAGTCTATAGGAGGAATTTCATTAGGGTAGCATTGCCTTCCTTCCTATTCTGACTTCACATATCTGTTCAGATTTCCTTGGAACAAAATAAACATTTGTTGGATACTTATTGCATATCAGGCATTATACAAACTTAATCCTCAGAACAACCATACAAGGAAGAGAAAATGCATATGAGAAAATGAGGACTCAGAGAGCTTGACTAACTTGCCCAAGGTCCCACAATTGTTAAAGTTCTAAAGTTTGTATTTAAGCACAAGTTATTCTAAATTCTCTCTTACACCAGACTGCCTTCTCCTGGGTTTGGTTTGTTCTAAAATTACTGGAGCACATTCTCTGGAGAAGCTTTTTAAGAGGGCTTCCTTTTCTCCTGTCACAGTTCTAACTACTGTAGCGCTCTGTCAATGTCTGAAGACAAAAGGAATTGAGACAGCTAAGAGTCATGCGTTCTTCTTTCCTGTCTAGTTGGTAGAGTTCACTTTTCCCTCCTAGAGCCATATGACAGTCTTTGGACCTGCTGATGGTATAATTCCCACATTTTTATTTAATTGCCAGATACAGAGAGAGGGAGAAAGCACTCCTCAATGGGGTGTGGTTGTGCCACAATCTCTTCATCTCTCCATCCTGTCAGGAGTCTGGGCACACACACTAGTGCCCAGAGGTTGTTTTTTTTTTTTTTTTTTTTTGGCTGAGGTTCAAATGTGAGATTGGACTCCATTAACGTAAGCTACAAAGCTAGCCCTAAATTCCCATATTTTATAAACTTAAGACAGAGCTCCTAGGACACCTGAAATATCATCTCCACACAGAGAAGAGTATTATTAAGCAGATCTACAGTAAGAATCTATAAATTTGATTTGGTTTTGACCTGAGAGGATACCAGAGTAAGAATCAAAAAATTTGATTTGGTTTTGACCTGAGAGGATACCACTCTATGTCCACCAGTGAACTAGCTTCCAGAGAAACTATGAGACCACAAAAGCAACTTCACAACAATTTACACTAGGCACTGATGACACCAGAAAAACAACATTCTGTGCTCTAAGACATACTGAGAAAAGAAAGGGAGGTGCAAGGAAATGAGGAAGAAAACCCCCCACTCTGAAGCCAAAGCACAACAGAACAACCCAGGAAGGGAGGGGAATATTGTAAGTGAAGATCAAAGAAACTTGTGGAAGCTCAATGGAATGACTTGAAAGGGTCATTTGGAGGCCTGGCAAAGATGGAAGAGACTGACAATACACCACCACATATGACAACACCAGGGATGGCTGGGAGAGGAAATTCAACTAAGGGCATCTTGCAGAAATGAGGGCTGTTCATCTGTTTTCCCCAAATTCATTCTCTCAGCGAACTCTATCCACTATGAAGTTTTTACTGCTTGTTTTATTACAGCAATCGGGAAGAATTAAGCATTGTCTAGCTGGGTGGAGTCTATTAGGGACCCATAAAGAAGAGGATTAATTCATTGTCATGGTCCTAGGGGTATTTCCAGACAAAGAAAACACTATTATGAGGGAGATACAGCTCTACCCTACCCCCACACCCTCCACCTCTGCAACCAGAGTCACTAGTTCAGGCCATAGCAGTGATTCTCCTCTAGCTACCCTAGCAATCTGTTATGGTGTAATGATGTGAAATAATATTAGGAGTTTAAATAATGGAGCAGGTTAGATTTAACACTGAACACTAAGAATCAATTCTGCATGTTACCCATATCTACCAGAGCCAGCACATGGAAACTTCTGAGAAAAACCCTTCAACATTAAGGGGCTTCATGGTTTTTTGCTTGTTGCTAAAGTTTCTTTGTTTCTTTTTTATAAAATTTACTAGAGGGTGCATGTGCTCACTGGAGAGAGACAGAGAGGGGAAAGTGAGAAAAAAAAAACCCCTAAATGGATGGTCACATTGCAATCCCTTCTCTTCTATTCTCCTCTCAGGATTTTGGGCACACACACACACAAGTGCCCAACCTGCTTTTTAAGCTGCTGGGTCTGGGACTTGAATATTGCTCTCAGCTGCCTTAACCATCATGCTAGTGGCTGGCCCAGTTTGTTTATTACTTCTATGAGAGAGATAAAGAGATACAGAGACAGAGATAAAGCATCCCCAACAGAGTCCTCACACCATGATCAATCCCCAGTCTCAGCTAGTCCAGGACACGGGCATGTATGTGTACCCAGCATGCTTAGGAAGGTCCAGGATGTGAAGCCACATTTTTTCCCATGTGGGTCCAGTTACATTATCACTGCACTACCACCCATCCCCAAGAACCCTGTATTTACTAAGGTTCTTTCTTCAGCTAACCTGGATAATAGCAGGGATTTCAAAGGACTTCTCTGGTTTAATACAGAAGGAGCCATTTGTTATGACTAGATGTACAAATAGCCTTCTTGGCTTATCAGGGAAAATTTAAAAAAAAACAACAACAACAAAAAACAGAATCTTTGAACATCATACCTAAACAGGAAAAGAATCCCTTAGCAACCTTTACTTTGCCTGGCTGTTCTAGAAGGCTAAAGAGAACTTTGTAGCCTTCTCACACATCTCACTTCCATCCACACATTATTACCTGTACCTGAAGCTTTCAGACTTACTTTTTGCAAAGAGTTGAGAGATGGTTTTTCTGGTGTCCTCTGACCCCTCATATTCCTTCTCCGCAAGCTGCTTGTTGGCAGTCTCTAGACGCTCTGTGGAATTTGAAGACACTCAACAGGGCCCCACATACAAACTTCCATGCACATGCTGTTTGCCCTCTACACAGTGACCTTTTGTGAAGTAAGCTTGCTTCTTCTTGTTAAACAGGAATGGGTGACAGACATAGGTTTGCAAACATTAATCCCAAAACAATATTAGCCCATGGCAGGGAAGGAGGAAGTAACTATTTAACACTTTCACTCACTCTTCATTGCTAGAGATCAAGTGCAGAATTCGAAATTGTAATGAAGTAATCCATCACTGAATATATATCTTTCAGTAACCAGGAAAATGAGCTTCATGGTTATTATAAAGGCTTCAAAATAATGTAATGTTAAAGCTAGAAATGGACCTTGGCAGTATCTAAATAAGCCCCCTAATTTTGTACGTTAGATACCAAAATGCAATGACAGAAACTAACATTCCCAAGGTCATTTGTCTTGAAGGTGTTGAAGGAGTTTTGAAGTAGAAACTCTCCCACCACTTGCAACATAATCAGGTGAAAATAAAACAAAAGGGGGGGGGAGTCCTAGAAATAACAGGACATCACTATTTCAAGATTGCATGGTCAAAAGACATGTTTCTGCAAAACCTGCAAAGAAAAGGCAGCACCAGTTGTGTGGGTGGGCCAGGCTGATCCAGCAGTCCCAAAAGAGATCCTACCTGATTAACAGGCAGTTCATAGCTCAGAAGACCAGGTACATCCCATCCCCCTGCTTTGCTTAATCAAAGTAGATGCTCTGTGATTTATGGTACTGACCATATCAGTGGGTTGGACAACTACAAAGAGCCTTGTCAGAATCTCCTCTGCACTTCCCTTCACCACCCAGTTCTCAGCTGCTTTAGAGGCACAGAACCAAGCTCATTGATTCCCTCACCTCTCAGATCCCTGTTGAAGTCATGCATTCTCCTTATCTCGCCTTCCAGCTTATTTCTCATGGCTTTCTCCAAGGCCTCTCTTTTGGAGGATGACTTCACAAGGTTTTCATATGCCTCGGAGACACGTTGGATTTCTGACTCCACCTTAATGAAAAAAGATGATCGTTATGATAAAGATAGTGGTGAAGGGGGAACCAGCAGTTAGCGTAATGGCTATGTCGCTGGACTCCCATGTAGTTGACCGCGGTTCGTGTCCTGGACCCGGTGGCTTAAAACTCACGCCGGGCGCATGTGCGTACGTGCCCAAGATCCCGGGAGGAGAATGGAGGAGAAGGGATTGCGGCGTGACCATCCCCCCTGGGGGGTGATTTCTCGCTTTCTGTCTCTACGTCTCTCTCTGTCTGGCGAGCGCACGCGCCCTATAGTGAAAAACAAAAAAAGATAGTGGTGAAGGTAGGAGGCTGATGGGGAAAATGGTCTGAAAAACTGGGGCTAGCCAATGATGTAATGGTTATGTCACTGGACTCCCACATAGTCAACTGCAGTTTGAGAGTCCCAGACCCAGCAGCTTAAAACTCATGCTGGGCATTCATGCTCAAAATCCTGAGAGGAGACTGGAGGAGAAGGGACTAGCATGGCCATCTCCCCTGGGAGGTGATTTCTCGCTTTCTGTCTCTCTATCTCTGTCTATTCAGCAAGTACACACACTCCATAGCAAAAATCTCTTCCTTAAAAAAATATGGTCTGTAAAACTTCTATTCACATCCTTCCTGATAGCATCCCCTGGGGCATATAGCTTATAGACAGCCAAGTGGCAAGCGTAATACTGACAAGAAAAGTTTCAAAGAAGGAGCTTAAAGTTCCATTATAAGATCAGTAATTAACTCATTGTGCCATGGCATTTCCTTAGGTTAAAATACACAGCTTCTACTTTCAGAGAAGATGGTAAAATAGAATATAATCTATAATTATGGTTGTTATTTTAATTCCTAAGTAAGAAGCTTCTTTACTTGAAAATATCAATAATAGTGTTAGATATAGTATGTAGACAACTTTACATCAGAACATTCAAAGAAATTGTACATCCATACTTATTTCAGTTTCTCCTAATATATGCTTAGTCAAGGGACACATCTTATCATTTGAGCAGAAACAAAAGTTAAATTGCCTTTCCCAAGAGCAAGTCAATGGCAGAGACAAACCTCAAAAACCCTAAGCATCAGGGACCAGCTCTGTGGTGCAGTGGCGATACGCTATTCAAGAAAAGCTGGAGCCCATATGGCAATCACAGTTCAAATCCCCAGCCTAGTCAGCCTGAAACATGCTGGGCATGTACACAAGTGTCCAGGACCCAATGAACTGAAGGACTAGAGGAAGGAGATCCTTTGTGACCAAACCCTGTAGAGGGTGCCTCTCTCTCTCTCTCTCTCCCTCTCTCTCTCTCTCTCACTTGACCATGTACCCTATCATGAATATAAGGAGGAGAAAACTCAAAGCTTCAGTCTCAGGTAGTAGTTAAATTTAATTAAACAGACATTTAATTAGGGCTAAATTTTTACAAGAACTCTTTAAAGCAATGTGGGTGTGTAAATAAAAGAGAACATTACTGTTGCTCTCAAGGAGTTTGCAATCTAATCACGTAAAAGAATATAGAGCAAGATAAATCCAGATTTTTTAAAAGTAGGAGTAGTGCTATAAAGTACAGAGAAGGAAGAGGTTATTCCTTGTTGGGAGGAGGGGGAAGGGGAACAATTTCAGGGAGAAGGTGGTATTTAGAGTCAGATCCTGAATAATGGGTCAGATTTCTTTTTTTTTAATTTAAATTTATTTATTTACATTCATTCACTATACATCATTACAGCATACAAAGTGAGATTTCCCATCCAGAATACACTGTATATTGGTTCAATAAAGCACATCAACATACATGTTATCAACAAATAATTTTCCATTTATTTCCTGTATAGTCTGCTTTTTTTGACATCCTTGATTCCCTATCCCTCACCCTAATCACATAAAAGAATATAGAGCAAGATAGATCCAGATTTTTAAAAAGAAGGAGTAGTGCTGGGAACCAGCAGTTAGTGTAATGGCTATGTCGCTGGATTCCCATGTAGTCGACCGCGGTTCGCATCCCGGACCCGGTGGCTTAAAACACACCAGGCGCATGTGTGTGAGTGCCCAAGATCCCGAGAGGAGAAGGGATTGCGGCGTGACCATCCCCCCTGAGGGGTGATTTCTCGTTTTCTGTCTCTATGTCTCTCTCTGTCTGTCTGGCGAGCGCAGGCGCCCTACAAAAAGATCTCCAAAAAAAAAAAAAAGGAGTAATGCTATAAAGTACAGAGAAGGAAGAAGTTATTCTTTGTTGGGAGGAGGGGGAAGGGGAACAGTTTCATGGAGGAGGTGGCATTTAGAGTCAGATCCTGAATAATGGGTCAGATTTCAATGAGCAGAGGTGAGGGGAAGGGTATGCTATTTTGAGTGAGCAAATGCATTCTCAGAATGACCAGTAGTCTAATTTGGCTGGACACTATGGGGTACAGAGGAAGCTGGCCAGATATGGCTGCAAAGATAGATTGGAGTAAGATCATAAAAGAGTTTTAAAGCCGGGCATTTGGACTTTATCCCACAGTCAGTGGGAAAGCAGTACAGACTTTTTAACAGAAATTCATGATCAGAGTTGTGTTTTATGACACCTTGGCAAATCTTGTAAAAAAAAAATAGAAAGGGTCTTGCTCAGAAACAGCTATAATACTGATATAATGAGGAAGAAAACAAGAAACTAGACTCGCGGGTTTTTCTGAAACCAGTATAGTTCCAATTTTACATATAATAACCACAAAGATATTTGCATATAATTTGTATAAGGCAAATAAACCTCATGGCCTATTAAGCAATGTTCAAATTAAATGTGACTCCTGCAACCATCCTGCATTCCTTCTAAATTTTCCACTATTTTCCTTAACAAAGCTTAGGGTACTTTATGGTGAGAAATATCAAGTGCCCAGAGGGAGACGGGGGAAAGGTAGGGTTACCAAACAACTGCCATTCAACTTGCCCCTCCCTGTCTCCAAAATCCTGCCTGAGACAGGATTGCCTGCAAACAAATGAGGCTTACAGCACAGAAAAGAGCAGACTTGAAAGTGTTTTTCTCCTTGCAGATGGCACCAAGATAACAGCACAGAAGGTGAAAACTGGTGAATGGCATTTAGAGACAAGATCTGCAAGGCCTGAGCCTGATGAAGTTTTTGCATGCAATTCAAGTGCTGGGTAGAGAAAACAAACATTTCCATTTGAAAGAGCAAGTTTGGTGCTGGTCTGCTCCTTTAGCATGCAAGGCTTTCTAGGTCCCCACAGAATGCCATACACAAAAAGTAGTCCCTTCACACAAGGTGTTCAGACTGCTATGTCAAGATACTGTACTAATCCTTCCCCTACTCTCTGTACAGATACTGTACCCTTCAAAAGGGCAAGTAGTAGGCTGGCCCCATAGCTTAGTAGTAAAGGAAGCAGAATCTCATATGGCCAAGCACATGGTGCAATGATCTGAAAAACACACCAGGCACATATGTGAGTGCATGCCCCAAATATAGACAGGATGAAGAGGTGGAAGAGAAGTGATTGCAGCATGACCACGCCTCCTTGGGGGGGGCGGGGAGTGAATACTCTATCACACATACACACTCTGGAAATTAAAAAATAAAGGTGGGGGGAGTGGTGAATTACAGCTCTGTCAATAGACCTTCCGGGAAAAGCACAGAAAGACATGACCACTGGTTTGGTCTGGACAATGGTGAGGGGCAGGGAAGTGAGGGTGGACAGAGAACTTTCCAGACTATTCTTTTTTTTTAAATTTTTAAATTTTTTATTATCATTATAATTGTCTTTATATTACATTGGATTACATGTAACTTTACAGTGTATTACAATGCTTTTTCAAAAGGGAATCCCATGCATGTCAGTCAATACAGAGACATTAATCTCCTCGCTTCAACATTCAATATCTTTTCTATGCTTTCCCCAATCATTATTATTATTCTTATTCCCTTCATGACCTGAAGGCCTTTTTATTTTTCCCAGCATCACCTGGAATCTACTCTTCTCCCAACTCTTTTCTTCTTCTGCCCTACCTGTCCCTCTTCTCAACCTCAGCATTGGACTGGGCTTCACTTCCCCCAAACACTCAAGCTCTGCCAGTTGCACCTCTTTGAGGCATTTTTCCTCATCCAACGAAAATCCTACTCTGCTCCGCTTCCTTTTCACCCACCCCATCCCATCATCTGCCAAATCACTATAAATCCTTTAGTGATGAAGACTCATGGGAAGGGTCTTCAAAATGTTCATGGGAAATGCATACCATGAAAAAGCTATCCATAGATTTCAATATTTTTTGAACCAGAATAAATTCATACTTGAACTCCATTTTCCATAATTTTTCCCCATTTTTTAAACTTTTTTTTAATTACCAGAGGACACCTGTGCTCACCAGAGAGAAAGAGAGAAAGACTGCGGGAGAGAGAGGGATAAAGCTCCCCCATCGGGGTGTGATCACACTGCAATCCCTTTCCTCCATTTCTCTACCTCAATAGTATTTAGGGCATGCATACATTCAACATGTTTCTTAATAAACCAGGGCCAGGACTCAAACTGCAGTAGGCCATGTAGGATCTGGCTCCCTTAACCACTGTATTACAGGACAGCCCCTCCATAAAATTTCTGAAGTCCCCTCATGTAGAAAATCTGGGCTCAATGCCCAGTGATTGTATCAGATATGGGCCTGAGGATGCTTAACTAGAGAGTCGGAGAGGGGTATCAGCTCTTAACCTTATCAGCCTAGCTGACTTTTTATTGTGTGCATATAATTAATTTATTTCACCAGTGTGATGGGGGAGGAGTATAGTGAAAACGAGAGAGAGAAAATTGGGGCAAGCCAGGAACAAATAGTTCTCACTCTGCCCCAACAACCCTCATCCAGATTTGAGAAAATAGAGGTTGGGGTGGTGGGAGCTTTGCTACATAATAAGACTTACTTGGTCATAAGCCTCCCCCTCTTTCACGATCCAGATCTGGTGTTGACAAATCCTCAGCTTCATTCAGGCCCCTGAAATTTCCACTCCTGGTGTCTCCTAAGGATAGCTACCAAACAATACAGGCAACTTCCTTTCCCTCCCACACCTTCACCCTCACCTTCCTGAACAGTTCACACTGTAGGAAGATCAAACCACATGAGTTTCACAAAGACAAAAGCAGCAAAGAAGCTGTCAAAAGGCATACCCTATTCACCAACAGCCACTGGAAGGCAAGAGCTAAGGTTCCTAGTTTAGGGCATTCAATAGCTGAAGCCCCAGTGGCAAGACTGTGAGCTGGTGACACACATCTTTTTCTGTTTCCATAGCCTATGGCTGTCACCTGTCACCTAGCTGTGAGAGTAGGTCCCTCCCGCCCCCCATACACACCAGAGAAAAAGAACAGATGTTGAATCTGAACTGCAGGGAAGGACCAAAGCAAAACGTGGGTAGGCGGGGTGTGAAAAAGAGTTACTATGAGAACTCGCCCTAGGAAACATACTCTGAGCCTTTTCCAGAATAAAGCAGGGCAGACTCTAACTTCAGCTAGAGAGGGTTTTTTTTTAGGAACTAAAGTTTTATATTTAAGATTCAAATTCATATTTGGGAAAACATCAAGACGAAAATACTTAAAATGCTAATAGGTTCTTAACCTACATAGACATTACCACATCCTATGTTTTTTTTTCTTTCATGATAAAGCATGTGCATGCACATGAAAGAGCAAGAGAAGCACCCTCGACAGAGTCTAGTCACACTGTGTTCCTCTTTCTCCAGTCCTCCCATCAGATCTTGGGTACTTGTGCACATATCCAGTGTGTTTCAACCTTGGCACCATGTAGAATGCAGCTTCTCCTGAGCAGTGCATAACCACTGTGCCAAAGAGCTGGTCCCCAGCATCACCACTATTCTTGACCTTATAAAGAAGTGTCCTGGCCTTTTAGAATTCTAAAATGACCAATTGGGTTTTCCTTAGGGTTATAGTATCTGGGAAAACTGTATGAATTCGTATCTCCCACATAAATGTAAAATGTTACTTATCCTAGATACACAGGCAGGATTTTTTTCAACGTTTGACCCATATCTACTTGTTAGATAGAAAAATCCTGAAGATTTACTCATAAGTTATTCAGGTACCTCCAAGTGGAAACTTATATGGATATTAAATAAGTCCCATAAAGTTTTTGCCTGTTTGGGTTTTTTTTTTTATTTTTGTTTTTGTTTTGCTAGAGGGTGTATGCACTCATCACAGAGAAACAGAGAAGCAGCGAGGGGAAGAAGAGAAAGCACCCCCATGGGGAATGGTCAAAGTGTAATCTTTTCTCTTACACCTCTTCTTTCTTTTGGGATTTTGGGCATGCACAAGCACACACCTGACATGTTTCTCAAGCCACCAGGTCCAGGACTTGAACCATGTAGTCAGCCATGTGGGATCTGGCTGTCTTAACCATGAGGCCATGGAGCCGACCCAATTTTTTTAATTATTATTTTATGAGAGATTTTTGCTATAGGTCACATGAATTCACTGGAGAGAGAGAGAAAGAAACAGAGAGACAGAAAGTGAGAAATCACCCCCCTGGGGGGATGGCAACACCACAATCCCTTCTCCTCCATTCTCCTCTTGGAATTTAGGGCACACATGCTCAGTGTGAGTTTCAAGTTGCCAAGTCCAGGACTAGAACCTCGACTGACTACATGGGAGTCCAGCACCTTAACTACTATGGTACCTCTTGGCCCCCCATTTCTTAATTAACATTTATTTAACGTATTCATGACTATGAATATTAGAGAGAGAGAGAGAGAGAGAGAGAGAGAGAAACATGCACTCTCAAAAGGATGTCATCATGATGTGATCTCCTATCCCCAGCTTGCTAGCTCATCAGGCTCTTGTGAATGCATGTAAACACCCAACATGTCTTGGGTCGACCTGGCCATGGATCTGAACCCATGGTCACTCATATTTCTTCCAGCAGTGCAATTCAGTATGCTACAACTGCGCCACCAAGGCTGGGACACAAATAAGATTTAAAGGAGACTCTAATATCCCAAAATGGAAGCCTCACCTTCTGCAATCTTGCCACCTTTTCATAGCATCCTTCCAACTCCTGTCGCAAATTCCGGTTCTCATCTGAGAGGATCTCCACCATCTGCTGGGCTCTGGAAACGATGGCAAAGGGGTCGGCAGGCATTGGCTGATAAGAAGCAGAGGACTGCTGAGCCCGAGGCATAGCTGAATAGGCTTCTCCAGGCTGCTGTTGCTGCTGATTCAAACCAGGTTGGGAGAGCCGGTCATGATCCCCCCGGTGAGGCTGGTTAGGTGGCCTAGACAGGTGACCTGAGTGGTCTCCTTGGTTTGGGACCAAGGGGTGCTGGGCAGGAGACAACCTAGTGGATAATGGAGACTGCAGCAATGGTAAGGAACCCCCAGACGTCAGGGAAGAAGTAGGGCTGTGAGGCTGAGAGTTTCTGGCCGACAATGGCAATGAGATGTCCTGTGCTGGCCTGTAAAACATGAAGGGCAAGCTCAGATTAAGTTTGCTTCTAAGGCCCCAGGGGAGAAAGGCACAAGAAACTGAGATGAGGTGGCTTCTGGTGCTCCTAGGATACCTGCAAAACGAGGAGCAGGCAGGGTTAGATCAAACCAGATGACCTCCAGGTCCGGGACTCAACCGTGGTCAACTACAGGATCTTTGCAAAGACCTCACCAGTCCTTTCCCGACCTGACTTCCTATGACTCTACCTTAAAAACAGAGGTATGATCCCTGGTGGGGGAGGGGATCAAACCAGATGACCTCCAAGGTCACTTCTTGAAAATCTAAATGATGTACACCTTTATCTTTATTGCTCAAGACTAAGAGTTTGAAACAACCCTTCTACGAGATAATTTTCATCTTGTTAGTTTAAGCTACACTTTTTCTGATATTACATGGTCCAGCACACATAAAGATTCAAATTTAGAAAATGTATTCCACTTGCCCAGAAGGAAACAACAAATAGTCATCTTAATGAGTCACCCCTTACCTTGCTATCTGCAGCTCCTTTTGATAATTCATATGTTCCCCGAAAATATTACTAAAGGATTTCTAGATACTCATGACACTAGAGATATCAAACCATTATTGTTGGTTCTGGTTATTAATGATTTAATAACGTCCATCAGCAGTAACAACTGCAAGACTTGAAGATGGTTATAGGCAACACCACTATTATCATTTTTGATGTATGGATTCACAAAATGTTAAGGACTAGAAGGGCTTTAAAGAAATTAGGCCCAACACCATCATTGGACAGAAGGGAAAACTGAGGCCAAGAGAGGAAAAGTGATTGGCCAAATATTGAGTGAGTCAGTGGCAGTGCCAGGGTAGAATCGTTTTCCAACTCCAATTTTCTGGCTCTTCCATGATCCATAATGTATTAATTTCTGTGCAATGATGTTTACCTTCCCAACCTACTGCTTATAGAAAGTTCCAGAAAGAGAACATTGGTACATTGTTTAATGTGACTCTTTCATTTCTGTACCTAATTATTAGGTACAAAATACTAATATCCAAGTATGAATAGTTCTTACTTAATGCCTATTGCCCAGAAAGGGAAGTAATCACAGTATGTAGACAGATCATATCTACCACCATCAGCACTACCAAGAAGAATATTTTACAGTGTACACTGAAGACAAAAAGCTTGTTCACTACCAGCCGATGTCCAACTAACTTCATATGCTCCCAAGTCCTGTGGACACTAGTCCTATAGTTGCTATTTTTTTTTCTTTTTTTTTTTTTTTGGAGGGGTTTTTGCTTTAGGGGGGGTGGGCTCGCCCCAGACAGACAGAGAGAGACAGAGAGACAGAAAGCAAGAAATCACCTCCCGGTGGGATGGCCACGCAACAATCCCTTCTCCTCCATTCTCCTCTCGAGATCTTGGGCACGCACGCACGCGTGCCCGGCGTGAGTTTAAGCCACCAGGTCTGGGACTCAACTGCGGTCAACTACGTAGGAGTCTAGTGACAGCCATTATGCTAACTGCTGGTCCCTATAGTTGCTATTTCTCAATCCGGGGAAGCCAGATGGTTAAAAGCTTAGGATCTGAATCTCAACAGAAAGAGTTTGGAAAAAAAAAAAAGAAAGAGTTTGGAGTAGACCTTTTCTACTGTTTACTAGCTGTGTCACCTTGCTCAAGTTACTTCATCTTCATGAGCCTGTTTCATTCCTGCGACTGTAGCAGATGAACTGCAAACACACTTGGGGTCTTCTCATTTTCAGCACAAGAGGAATTACAAAAAGTCTCTTAACTGTTTTCCAGTGAGATCTGTTGACCTTGTTAGAGATTTTACATATGGAATATCCAGTTAATCTTTGCACTAAATTGCACAAAATTTATGGTGGAACTGGGACAAATCACCAGGCGCAATTAACTTTTAACTGGCGTTCCAGATGCTAAAGCATGTCCCTCCCACATACACTAAAGTTACCATTATTGTTCATTTAGACATCCCTACAAAAGATCCTCACTTGGGCCTTTTACAACTACAAAAAACACTTGCTGAGAAATACTCAGTAACCTAGATATTCATGAGACCTCTCAAACATGCTCAAATCTTGGTTCATGTCCCTTAGCCCTATCTATGCCTTGGGTATACCCATATTCTTCCAACTGTATACATATGTCACTACAAATAATTACTTAATACTGAAGAGGCATCTAAACTATTTGGTAGTCGTGATTACAACAGGAAAGCTGCTACCATATATAATCTTTCTTTCCGAGACTCTAAAGAACTCATCCAATCAAAAGCCTGAGTACTGTTTATCAATTTAATTAGTGAACAGTTCCCATTTTCCAGTCGATAGAGTTTTCATTTCCTCATGAGTAAAATGGACTATATATACCCTCTTTCTTCTGTGTAAATGCTATTATACTTTATGGGGGGGTAGGGTGGTCATTTAGAAAGTTCATAAAAATACACATTATTGAAAAACTACAGGGGCTGGACCAAGTGGCACAATGGTATAATATGATGCTCTACAAGTCTGATACATATAATAAGCTTCTGGGTTTATATCCAGAGACCTCCCTAAGTATGCCAGGCATGCATGTGCCCATGATCTGGGCCTGGCTGACACTAAGTAAGTCACAGCATCAAGACTCTGTTTGGGCTGCTATCTCTCTGTTTCTCTCTCTCTCTCTGAAGAAATAAATAAACTCTCTTTTTGGAGAGGTTTTTTTGTTTGTTTTTGTTTGTTTGTTTGTTTTTGCTATAGGACACATGCGCTCGCCAGAAAGACAGAGAGAGACAGAGACCAAAAGCGAGAAATCACCCCCTGGTGGGATGGCCATGCCACCATCCCTTCTCCTCCATTCTCCTCTCGGGATCTTGGGCATGCACGCACACATGCCTGGTGTGAGTCTAAGCCACTGGATCCAGGACTCAAATCGCAGTCAACTACATGGGAGTCCAGTGACATAGCCATTACGCCAACTGCTGGTCCCAAAATAAATAAACTTTTTAAAAAGAAAGCTATACTGGAGTTGAATCTTTTTTTTTTTTTTTGGAGAGGCGTGCTTGCTTTTGGGCGTGTGTGCTTGCCAGAGAGAGAGAGAGACAGAGAGACAGAAAGCTAGAAATCACCCCATGAGGGGATGGCCATGCTGCAATCCCTTCTCCTCCATTCTCCTCTCAGGATCTTGGGCACACACGCACACGCGCCTGGCATAAGTTTAAGCCACCGGGTCCTTGACTCGAACCACAGTCGACTACATGGGAGTCCAGAGACACAGCCATTATGCTCACTGCTGGTCCCACTGGAGTTGATTCTTAAATAGCTCCTCCAGTAACTCCACTCATTAAAAAAAGACATGGATTTCAAAATTTTTTTGCATCAAAATTAAATTGTACTTTAATTCTATTTTTTCATGGATGTTTTGAAGTCCTCTTGTACACATATTTGTAGAGTTAATTAAAATGTCCTAGGATTTCTTGGAGACTTTTGCATTTCTTGGGCAGAAATGTTTGGATTAAATTTCTTGTTTTCCCATCTAGGTCTCAAAATTTCAAGGAAAAAAAAAATCATTGTTTTAACCTCATCATTGTTTCCAGCACTTGGAAACCCAGGGCCTGGGAGGTGTTCTCTTCTAGATTGAATGCCCAGTTCTGAACTGGGCTTCCACTCCACAGTCCCCTGGGCCCCATCAAGCAACTCAAACCTCTCTCTCAAACAAACTAGGTCACTGGCTTCCCTCTTGCCTGGAGGCTGAAAGGCCCCTCCATGCTTTGGTTAGTAGAAGGCTCCCAGGGGCCTCAGGGAGGAGGAGAGCACAAGGTCTCTGGAAAAGGTCTCTGGGGCTGGATAAGCCAAGGACAAAGATAAGCAGAGACAAGGCAACTGCCCCTCAGTTCCTCAGGCTGGAAAAGGAAGCAGATCTCAGTGCACCCTGATGTTGAGAAATCCAAGGCAGCCCATTCCTGGCAGGTTTGCAAACAAGCTAAGGCTGGGGCAGTCTCAAAGGAAGAGAAAGCCCTCCAGTGAAGGAACTCCATCTGGGCTACAGCATCCACCCAACACAAAAAAGCAGGACAAGATGGTCCCAACAAAGGGGTGAAGATTCCCCCCAGAAGAGGGGATTGAAGAACAACAGGGCTGGGGAGCAAATGACAGGGATGTGAGAAGAAGCAAGAATATGCACAAGATGAAATAACAATAGTAAGAATAATTATGTTAATAATAAAGGTGGCAGCAGTCACATGAGCAGCACACTCTTTAGGTCCTTCCATCACACAGCAGCTTAAATCACTCCCCTGAGGGACCAGCAGTTAGCGTAATGGCTATGTCGCTGGACTCCCACGTAGTCGACCGCGGTTCGTGTCCCGGACCTGGTGGCTTAAAACTTACGCCGGGCGCGTGTGCGTGCGTGCCCAAGATCCCGAGAGGAGAATGGAGGAGAAGTGATTGCGGCGTGACGGAGGAGAAGGGATTGCGGCGTGACCATCCCCCCTGGGGGGTGATTTCTCGCTTTCTGTCTCTATGTCTCTCTCTGTCCGTCTGGCGAGCGCACGCGCCCTACAGTGAAAAAAATCTCTCAAAATAAATAAATAAATAAATAAATTTTAAAAAAAAAATCACTCCCCTGACACAATAACCAGGATCAACAAGCCACTCACAAACAACAGAAATATGAGACCAAGGAAGCCTTACCTACTTTCCTGTCCCTTCACTCCCTTCATCCTGCTCCTTCCCAAGACTACCTGGGCCACTAGGGCTCTGCAGAAAAGGGACATAGCATATGTGCAGCACTGACAGAGGCCACTGACTAAAATCTGTGTCCTTCCTAAGTCAGGGCTCTCTTCCAGAGACAGCTTCTGGGGAAGGACACTCATGGTAAGTAAAAGCCCCACCACCAGCTGCCATAGCACATTCTACCCTGCCACCTCTAGGACTGGGAGTCCCCGCCTTCCCTAGCTGCATGCACAAACACACACACATACTCCTGGTTCACATATGTGCAGGCCATGCACACACACACTCACCAGAGCAGGTGCCACCGACAGCCCAGAAGCTAGTTTGTTCTCACCACAGAAACAGAGCCTTTCCCTGGCTGGGCAATGGGGAATCTGTGAGTCCAGGAGCAGCGGGCTGCAAATTCCTGATAGTTTCTCTTGCACAACCAGCTCTGCTCTGAGCTACAGAGTTAGGTCACCCTTAGATTTCACTAAACAAGGATTTCAAGAAACCTCAGATCTGGGCAAGATTTCAACCATTGAAAGGAGGTGGCTGCTTTATAAACTGAGATTATATAATTTTTAAAAGCAGTTGATAAATGTAAAAACCCAGGATGAAGAAAAGGCTCAAGACTTAGAAAGGCGAAGATTCTGAAATATTTTAATTCTTTAGATGCCTTGGCCTTGTTTCCCATTTGGAGTTGTGGGCATTCAAGATATTTATTTTTTAAGTGGGGAGGAAGCTATAGGGAAGACAATGTAATCGAAGGATTGTTAGTAACATTTTGTTCATATTAACAGCAAATCTCTGGCATTTCACTGCACCTCTAAAGGCAAACAAGGTTTGTTTGTTTAACAGCAATCTGCACAAAGAGCTTCCTTTGCATCCTCATCTGTGATTTTTGGATTAAGAACTAAAGAATTTAGTTTTCTAATTGTTTGGTGCTAACAACAGTTGCTTGGAAAAGTACTCACAAACTATATAGCTAGTTAGTTAAAGAAAATAAAGGAGGAAAAATATATCACACCTAAAACCAATTCAATTCTGGAAAGCAGTTCAACTACCTCCTCTTGCTGATCCCTCGGTTTCACTCCCTCACACAGGGCCCTGAAAAAAATGTTACAGCCAGCACTTGCCTGATACAGACCAAAACTCCACATGGTACATCCTCCAACTAGGGCCATTTTGGGTTTGACTATTCATCAACTACATTAGGCATTCTGCTTCTCTCCGATAGAGAAAAAACTGTTAGAGCAAGCCTATGTGTTAAAATACTGCTCAAACGGGGACCAGCAGTTAGCGTAATGGCTATGTCGCTGGACTCCCACGTAGTCGACCGCGGTTTGCGTCCCGGACCCGGTGGCTTAAAACTCACGCCGGGCGCGTGTGCGTGCGTGCCCAAGATCCCGAGAGGAGAATGGAGGAGAAGGGATTGCGGCGTGACCATCCCCCCTGGGGGGTGATTTCTCGCTTTCTGTCTCTCTGTCTCTCTCTGTCTGTCTGGCAAGTGCACCTGCCCTATAGCGAAAACCTCTCCAAAAAAAAAAAATTACTGGTCAAAGGACCAGCCTCCTAGTGCAGTGGTTAAGCATTGTATATAGAGAACCAGATCCCACACAGCTGATGATTACCCTATGGCAAGAACCTTAATAATACATATATACTCTGGGTACATGCATGAGGAAGCCCAAAATCCTGATGGAATGGAGAAAGAGGAAAAGGGATTGAGGTGAAACTACACTGCATTGGGGGATCCTCTCTGTCTAATTTGCTTTCTGACAAGATTTTTTTTTTTAATTTTATCATAGGATGCATGTGCTCAGCAGAGATAGAAACAGAAAGAGAGGAAAAGTGAAAAAGGGGTGATGGTCATGCTGCAATCCCTTCTCCATTCTCCTCTTGGGATTTTGGGCTAGCCTGCACATGCACCTGGCATGATTTTCAAGCTGGCAGGTCTGGGACTCAAATTGCTCAGTTGGTCATGTACAATCCAGCCACTTTAACCTCCATGCCACCTGCTGGCCCTGGCAATAAAATATTTAAAAAAATAAAATATACTGATCAGGGACTAAGACAATGACCACTAGGGGCCGGATGACTAGAGGAGAGGAGAGGATGAGTAGATGTTGGTTGACAGATTATAGGATTTCTTTCTGGAGAGATAAAAAATTTTCTGGAATTAGTGGGGATAGGTGGATATTTGAATGTACTAAAACCCACTTTACTATACAATTTACTGTGGCTAAAATAATTTGATGACATGTAAACTTTTTCTCAGTTAAAAAATGTAAAAAAATGAATAATAAAAAATAAAATACTATTCAAGAAAGGGTAGATCAGCATGGGCTCTGTTGCTTTGGGGGGAGAGAGAGAGAGCGAGCTACAGAAAGCTTAGGAGGGAGTATCTTCCTGTAAGATATATGCAGCTAAATTTCTCTGGTGGTTTAATCAGTATGGGAAGGGGAAAAAACCTTCTTCAGGCTCATTATTTATTTAGGAAGATCAAAGGGCTTTTCCATCTAGCTTCAAACACTGTGGGAGTCATTTCAAATCACAAACAATACTGGTGAATGAATTCTGAAAATAGCTTTCCTGGGCAAGCGCACCATGTGCCGAGCGGGGCTTGGGCTCTGACTCCACACTACAGTCAACGTACTCCCCTCCAAGGCAGCAGACGTCAGCCCATCCACAGCCAGGAGGGAGTCCCACAGACTCTTCTGTACTGATGGGAAAAGCAAAACAAAAACCCCCAGCTTCATTGACATTTTGCTGGCTTGAATGGGTTTCCACTGAGCAAAGCAGAGGAACAGCGCAACCCCTCCCTGGTTCTTCCGTTTCACTGGGCAGATGGGAATAGAGTTCTTGCTCGCCTTAGAACCTTAATAGCCCTGTCCATTACCCCATTTCCTGTTCCAACACACTTATCAGAATTTAGGCTCCTGCCCTTTGAAAGCTGTGCAGAGCAGATTGAAAAGAGTTAGGAAAGCAATCTGGGTTAAGAGGAAAAAACTCCTAAACTGGCAATGTTAGGGGTGGAGCCCAGAGTGAATTGCTTTTGGCTACAACACAGGATCTGGAGGGGGGAGGAGGAATATCAGGAAATGCCAGGTGCCTTCTCTTACCTTCACCCTACTCCACCCTGACTGCCTCCTCTCCTGAGTCACCTAGTAAATTTCAAGCCAAGAGGTTCTTTTCAAAATGAGCGAGGAGGGGACAGGAGGCAGAGAGACTTCAAAGAGGATCACAGCCCTACTCTGTGGGCTGCCTGTGGAAGAAGGTCAGCCTGAGTCCAGAGCTTCAGACCTTATGGCCACCCACAGCTATTCATGGGAACAGGGCAGGAATACCAAACACAACCACCATCATTGTTGCCTATGGCTTAAACCTTGTCCCCTTCCCCAAATGCTTAAATACTATCAGAGACATGGCCAAACACTAACAATATGTTGTTGCTAAATGAACAGAATCCCACCATCAAGCAATGAATGATACGCCTTTGAATAATTAAAGTATATGTACTAAGAACTGAACATACAAAATGGAAGTCACAGGAATAGTTTTTACCTTTGGCATTTTAGCATAAGACCCAAACTTCTATTTGATATGCAAATTTAATTTAGACTTTGAAAAATGTGCCAGGCAACTAGCAAACTCTCTACAGAAGACAAAGCAGTCCAGAATTTAGGAACTAGAAGTATGAGAAGACTTCAAAAAGTCTGTAGAAAATTGAACAAAAGTACAAGATTATTTTGATGGAAATTAATTCTTAAATCCATGTGTAGTTTTTTATAATGCATTTCTATGAACTTTCTGAAGACCCTCCCCACACAAGACAGTAACATTCTGCAACTGCACACAAATATAGGACCTCCCCCCACCCCACCATATCATCTGGATGTTTGGTTAGTGTACAAAAGAATCACAGTAATCCTACTGAAAAATTAAAACTGTTCATAAAAATAACAGATGGGAATTTTATGGAGGGCACTATGTGGAAGCATTAGGATGTCCCAGACTAAGACTAATAAAGTTCAAAATTTGCTCCTGCTTCTCAAGAGAAGAATTCATAGAAACACTAACCCTTCCTTCGATATTTTAGGAGACAGGACAATGAATAGCTGCTGAAATCAAGACCCAGGTTCCTGTTATCTCCTAGGCAGTTGAGGCCATGCTCAACCTGTAAAGTCAGGAAAATGTCAATACAGTGCTAATTACGACTGCAAAGGCTAGAAGTTCAGATTGGCAGGCAAATTACTAAGCCAGGGACCAGTTATGCACTGCAGTGTGTTACACCAAACACCTGCCCATTCCTTCCCTTATGATTCCCAATACACAGCACAAGAAGCTGGTTGGGGATGAGGTCAGGAAATGACAGAAAGGGAACTCTTACCTGGCTGCTCCATACTCAGGGGGATGCTGATACCTCATCAGTTGCCCCTCTGTTCTCCCTGGCTGGTTCAGGCGATGCTCACTATAGAAGTGCCCTGGCTCTTGGGGCTTGCACACTACAGACTGGGGCGGCATGCCCTTGAAGGGATACTCTGGTGGGGGGCCTCGGTGTTCCATTCCCTTCAGGCTATGCTGGTTGGGAGGTGGCCCTTGGGCCTTGTAGAACTCACTGGAACTTGTGGGATTCTTGTAGAGATCATTGGGCTGTGGTGGGGAGAGGGGAGCACTGGTAACAGGTGGATGGGCCTTAACTCCACTGGTGGCCAGTGACATCTGCATTAGACGTTCACTCAAGGAACGAACATGCCCTTGCTTAAGGTCTCTGAGTCCTTCATCCTGGTGCATCTTCCCAGAATTGAGCCGCTGAACTGATGGGCGACCCTCAGTCCTCATCTTCTGGTTGGTGACTCCAGTAACATAAAAGGCTGCTCCAACACTGGCATGCTGTTGGCCCCGAAAGTACTGGGACTGGACCTTGGCTTCTTCATAGGTTGGGAGTTCTTCATTATTCTGCATTCGAGGGGACAACTGCTTCTCCATGATGATGTTTTCTGACTGGATTTCCTGCCCCTGGGGTTCTTGTCGAGCAGCATGAGCCACAAGCTGCTGGTGGTGGTCTTGGGGACTCAACACATCATTCTGTGGGCCTGGGTTCCCACTGCTACCAGGGAAAGGAGGGCCATTCCCTGATGCTTGCTGGTGTATGGCAAGCAGGTTGCGATTCTCGCTAGGATTGCCATAGCGAAGCTGCTCTTGTAGCAGACGCTGTAATACTGTGGTTCCTCCACTTGGCTGTTCTTCAGAATTTCTCATCTCTATTGCTGGTGGTGCCTTGTGAAGAGAGAGAGAAATTGGGCACCTGGGCTGCCCTTGACCTGGGAAGGGGAAACAGGAAGCTTAACACCCTTGATGGATAGATAAATCAGTCCTCCAAAGGGAAAGAAAATGGGTATGTGGGGATGAGGTTTCCATTGCAGAAATAAAGTATGGAGCTGAATCTAGAACTAACAGATTAATTATTGCAGATTCCTGGTGCTAGCATTGATATGATGAGGAACTTGGAGGTATAAGAGCTCTGTTTCCTCTTTTAATTTTACCATCAATTAAATATTTAATCTTGACATAACTCCTAAGAGGACTGGAGAAACCTGGAATGGTCAAATGGGGTGATCTGAGTGGGCAATGTTCCAAGGCCCTTACTCCCAAGGTTCATTTCTCTGTATTCTACTAAAATTAAAAATCCAACTCTTGGGATCAGCAAATGGCATAACGGTTACATTGCTGGACTCCCACAAAGTTGACCATGGTTCAAGTTCCACACCTGCAGCTTAAAACTCATGCTGGGCACATGCATGTGCACACCCAAAATTCTGATAGGAGAATAGTGGAGAAGGGATTGTGGTATGGCCATCCTCTCTGGAGGGGGGGGGAGGGGAGAGGTGATTTCTCACGTTATGTCTCTGTCTCTCCAGCAAATGCACGTGCCCTATAGCAAAAATATCTAAAAAAATAAATCCAACTCTTGGGCCAGGTAATGCAACTGGACCCACGTGGGAAAATCTGGAGTTTGCAAACCGAGGCCTCTCTGTACATACAGAGCACATATGTGCCTGTGACCCAAGCCAGCTGGAACTGAGGGTTGATCATGGCATGGGACCCTACTGGGGGTTCCTACCTCCCTCTCTCTTCCTTCTGCAGAAATAAATGAATAAACTTTTTAAAAACCCAACTCTTAAATGGCTGTGGAAGTGAGAGTAGGAAAGTGGAGAACAGTACTCCACAGACAAGATTTATAAAGCAATTCGGCATGTGAAGGGAGCTATAAAATGCTAAAGAAGGATCAGCTCTGTAGCACAGAAGTTAAAACCCTGTGCAGGGGATAGTGAGATTCCCCCATGGCTGACTATGGTTCAAATCTTTCCCCAGCGGCTTGGAAAACATGCCAGGCTCATGTGTGTGCATGTCTCAGATCCTAACAGGAAAGACAAAAGGAGGAAAAAGGATCGTAGTGTGATCATCGTAGTGTGATCATGCTCCATTGGGGGTGATTTCTCTTTCTCCCTCTCTGTCACACTCTCACGCTCTCTCACTCTCTTGAGCACCCTCTGGCAATTCAAAAAATGCTAAATAAAAACTAAAATAAATATAAGTGACCTTAACTTATACCAAGTAGAAATGACCCCTGCTTTTGTGCAAATCTTTTTTGTTAATCCCATCAGACTCACAAATGTATTTCTTTGAAAAAAAAATCCTTTATTTCTTGTATTGTCCATTTTGGACACTCCTTTATTTAATAAGAGAAAGACTTGGGATAAGTATTACTGACAGTTTCTTTTTTAGCTACCCAGAAATAGTCATTGTGATTTGCTGTTGTTTTATAGGAGGAGCTTAAAGGGGAAGGGCATCTTTCAAATTGAAGTGTGCTCTGACAACATTTAGAAACTGGAAAATAATAAAGTCATCCTTCTGGAAAGGGTAGGATTACCATGTCCCCTGGCCACCACCAATCCATCTAAAGAAGTATGGGGTGAAACAGGTAACAGTAGTAATACAATTTAAGATTCGAATTCAAATCATACTATTGGTTTACAGGGGAACCTAATACCTGATTCCTCTATTCGTGACTTCTATTTTCCCATCTGAAAAATGAGAGTAAGTTGACATCTCTTTTGCATGCACACCAACTCACTAGAACTCAAATTTTCTGGACAGAATCTGTCATCTGAAATATTGTGATTAAATATTAACATTTAATAACAAAGTTTTCACTCTACAAATCCTATGTAATTGGTGGAGAATGGATATTATGTCTCACAGAAAAATCACAATAAAGGTCAACCTAATCAGCTTCAAGTTTCTAGATGAGGACTGGAATACTGGTTCTCAGACTTTTATTTCTGGGATATTTAGTAGACTCTAATATTTATGGAGACATGAACCCATTTTCTTTAGTGTCATAGAGAGTGACCCAGAATGTGTACAGTATATGGAGAAACGTCATCTTCTCTTTTTTCTCACTTCTTGACTACCTGGTTTCTAATTGTTCTACTGAGCAGTTTGACCTCACAGTTAGCCCTCCATAGGCCTCCCTTTTTAAAGGATTTTTTCCCTTTATGCATGACAGAAAGTATATATATATATATATATGAGAGAGAGAGAAAGGTGAAAAGCCTCCACAGGGATCTGGTTATCCCTTTCCTCCAGTCCTCCAGCCCCTTGGATCTTGGGCACTCACACACATACTTGCGTTTCAAGCTGACCAGGCTAGAGATTTGAGCCTTGGCCACCATGTAGGATTTGACTTCCCATGAGCAGCATATTACTACTGTGCCATTGAATAGGCCCGCCAAATCCTTTCAAAATCCCATTCAACATATTCTTTTGGGAAGTGCAACCTATTGTTCTTCCCCTCCCTCCCAGTGGCTCTCCAGAACTCCTGTTTTTGAACTGTCAAATTGAGATTTTCTAATAGGTTGACAAGCAACCTTCAGGTTGGTGCCTGAAACTGGAGAGATAACTAGCAAACTGCTTTTTAATCTCTCAAAAATATGGAAATGGGAACATGTGTGATTGAAGCAAAATTACTTCCAAACCCCTCCTGCAAAACCAGGAAATGCAGACATTGAGCTGTTCCAGACCCCAGAAGAGTATGCCACCCCCTCCCATGCCACACCCTCCACCCAGCAGGCGCACACACACAGGCACACACACGCACATCCCAATTGTCCATACCTATTTCTGCTTTCTTTTAGGCTTAAAGCCTTGATCAGGATAGGGAACTCTTGCTTATGAGCAGCTCCAGAAACCGCACCGGCAGATTCCCTCTCCCCTAACACTCGGGTTCAGGGTAAGCGTCTCCAAGAATCCAACCACTGGTCACTCTGAAATGTTCAGGAGGGGGAGGGAGGGAGAAATAAAATCGTTGTTTCTATTTTGCCACCAATGGCCAGCTGTTAACCAAACCAGTCCTTCCAAGGGAATGACTTGTTCTCCCATGGTGCTTGGCTTTTATATGAGTGGCAGAGTCCATCTCCATTAGGGCAGAAAAGAAACCTCACTGTCCAGCCACTGTGCTCAGGAGGTCATGCCAGTCTCCAAGTGTTGGGATGCTCAGGTCTGAGACTGGAAAGGATTGCTCTGTTCTAGCCTCTCGTTCCTGAAAAGCCACTGCTTCCATTCCTGGTTGGAAGGGTGGATGATGACAAAAGCCATAACCACTGTCACCTGTAGGGTACAACCTTCACATTGCTATCAGTAGCAGGGCAGGTTACTGAAGCTCACTGCCCCACTTCCCAGAAAGGAAGGCAATCATCATTTAGGTTTGGGATCAAAAACAAGGAACACTCAGTGAAGACCTGATTTGGTCTCAGAAGGGCAGAAGAAAAACAAAACTTCTTTTCAACCAAGTCATTAAGTATTTATTGATATTGACTATTCCAGACATTTTCAACCAAGTCATTAATTATTTATTGCATATTGACTATTCCAGACATTTGCCAGCCTCAGGTTAGACACAATGAGAGATACAAAACAAAATATACGTCCTGCCCTCACGGAGCTTACAATCTGATAAACTGACAATCTGATGGCCCATCCATTCTTGCTAGAGTGGAAAGTTGACCGCCCCCTCAACACAGAGCAGCCCCCCTTCTCCAAGCAGAAGATGCCTTCACTTGCTTTCTTAGCACTTCCACTGCCCACGTAGCTCAGCCAAAGAAACTATTAGATTTGTGTTGTAAAGACCAGATGCAAAAGCCCAATAGATGTGGATTTGAGATGGTCCTCATTTACAATTTGCTTTGACACACTGAAAAATCATACAGGTCCAACCAAATGGTTGCAGAACTCAGGAACTTGTGTTTATTTGAGATGCACATGAACCACATTCTTATCTTCTGCCCCAGCCTAGTCATGACTCATTCATATCTTTTAAAGGAAAACCTTGAATCCTCACCAGAGACTCCATTTGAGGAGCAAGGCAATATAAAGGAAGCACACAAGCATCTCTGAATTTTGGGATCATGTCCAAAACATTCAAGTTTTTGAAAAAATCCACAAAACCACACAGTGATTAATTTAACATCATTTCCTTGCAGTCTTGCCAAAAATAAAGTGAACAGATATCGAGTGAACAAACATGGAAAATTGTCTTTCCATCTTGTTTTGGCCCAACATATAATCACAATCAAAAGCAAAATCGTCTCCAATCTGCAAGGCAATTATTTTAGGAGGTCTCCCCTAAATTGCAAAGTAGAGAAACAACTTTTAATTAGAATCAAAGCTGGACTATTAATGGAACTCTGGCAAATTACCACCTTATTTTTATTGTCCAATTCTGAGCAAAACATTTGTCATTTTTCAAATGAAACAGCAGAAAACAGCCCAAGGCTTTTAAACTTGAGCCTCTGGAGAGAAACCACCATACAATTCTTTTCCAGTGCTTACTAGATTCTTCAAACCAATGTCCACAGGCTTTCTCCTGACACTCAGCTCCTCACGGAGAAAACTTTACTTGGCCAAAGTCTTTCTCCAATTAATTTTGTCCTCTCCCCTCCATTTCCTTCTCAAACCCCAAATCACTTGATGTCATCTGGACATAGATCTCACTCCCCCACCCAACACCCAGCCTTTTTTGTTGCTATTTAGAAAAGAAATCAGTCTAAGAAAAAAATTTACAGAATCTTCAGATTACTGATTTTTTCCCCCTTAAAGAACTTACATTCACCTACATGTCAAGAGTCACATAAAAAGGAAAACACCATTCTATTTACTTATTAGAGAAAGGAAAGAAAAAGATTCCCTGTCTCATGCACATGAACTAAAGTAGTCTGAACTCTGCAACCTTTAATCTGCCCACAGCTTTAATCACGCCACTGCCAGGGGGTCTGACATCATCTTCAATCAATATAATGACCTTGTTTCTCCTGGACACACATTGTCCCCTGAGGATATTTGATAGAGGAAGAAAGGATATCCATGATTCTGTCTTTGAAAATGCAATTGAATCTATATTCAACTCTTTGTTTACAACCACAGGGCATCAAGGCCAAGCTAACTTCTTACTTCATTTGTAGTCATTGGCCTCTCCCAGTCTACCTGGAAGGTTGAGCCAAAACACATTAGTGAGAGCCCAAAAGGTTGCCAAGTCAAGTTCTAGAAAATCAACATGACAGGGTAGCCAGGACAGACCCAATTCCCACCCTTCAAATGAATTTTGCAATATGCCTATAAGATGTTCTTTCTATGCCTTATTCTATCCTCTCCTATTCTGCCTCCACCCCACACTTCACCAACCAGGATGAAGAATCTAAGTCTAGGAAACCTGTTTCTCTGCTAAATCTTGGTCAACTTGTTTATATTATTTTACTTCCAGCTAAATGGAAAGGAGCCAGTTCAAAGTTTCCCTGTGACTATATCTTTGACTTTGTGCATGAAACACATACACAACCCCTCATAGAAAGTGAAAGGCCCCAGTGAACTCTCATGTCCTTTCAAGTTGGTGCATAAGGTGGCCTGAAGTGTCCTAGAGAATACCTTGCCCAACAGTCTTGCAAACCAGGCTACTAATTCACTTCCTTTGAGAGCTAAAAAACAATAGTCCTTTGCAGTTATCTAAACTTTCAACAGGTAATGGGTAAGCAGTGTAAATACCACAGTTAAGAACCCAGGCCTAGAGTCACACTGTTTAAGTTCAAGTCCTAGATATCTGTTTTTTTTTTTTTTTCTAACTGACCTTATACATGTGTCTTGACCTTCCAAGTCTCAATTTCATCAGCAGCAAAATACAGGCAATGCTGTTTGCACTTCATAGGATTGTTATACAGATGAAGACTAAGATTAAGAGAGGTGACCTATGTAAAGTGCTAAGCACAGAGCCTGGCACATAGTAAGGGCTCAATAAAAGTTAGTTATTACTAGAGTTATCATTTCAAACAAGCCTTTTTCTAGAAGGCTGTAAAAATTTTATAAAGAAAGGCTGTTTTGTTTTGTTTTGAACCTTTATTTGCAACTCAATCTTTGGTGCAGCCTTAGGTCACAGAAAACCAGACTAGACAAACTGTATGCAGACCATCTAGCAAACCAACTTGCTCTTTCTACAGAAGACACAAGAGCCTCCAAAGGGTAGAGTCAGGACCACAATGCAGGTCTTATAACTCCTAGGGCAAGAGCACTCCTACTACAACATATTATTTAGCATTATTAGCTTGTATGTAAAAGATGCTTAAAAGTTTATTAATTATTAAGCATTGACCCTAGTTTTAAGAGACTAGGCTTAAACCTGGCTTACTGTTATCACCAATTTCCCAGTTCCAATGACAGTAAAATGTTAATGGAGGGAAAGAAGAATCCAGTGAGATAAAAACAGGAAGCATTTTGCTGAAAATACAGCAGAAGAACCTTGCAAAATCTTTCTTCTTAATGACAGCTAGTGGCTGGGAAGGTTTGTGGGGAGAGGTGGATAGAATGATGTTGAATAAAGAAAATTAAATTGCAGATAGATAAAAGGAACAATGTCTAGTGTTAAAAACATAATAGGGTGAATATGTAATAGGTAACAACAATTTACTGTATCTCTCAAAATTACTAAAAAAGAGGATTTTGAACATTCCTAATACAAAGTAATTACAAATGCTTGAGATAACAGGTATACTAATCACACTGGTTTAATCACTCCACATAGTATTCTTATACTGATAAATCACATTGTACTGTACCAATATGTACAACTAATACTGAGTTGTTGGTAAAGTCATGACGGTTTTTTTTCTATGTTTTTTTCTGAAAAAAAAAAATGCTTAACGACTTTTCTGACAACCCAAAATGTTAATAAAGGGGTGTGTGTGTGCATGTGTTTCTTCTTTAGGTCAAGGCATGCAATTATGCCAGAGAAGAACACGAAGCTCCACTAATCAGTATTTCCAGCCCCACTGTTCTAGGTCTTGTCAATATCACACTAGCCTGGCATTTGCTTTTACTTAACTCAAGCCCTAGCTTAAGCAAAGGATTAAGAAGAGAGGTGGCCCCAACTTGTTTTTCCGAACTCTACCTCTATCTAGATTTGGCTGGAAAATTATTTTAAGAAGAGTAACACCCTGGCATTTCCAAATCTTATTGAGGATCTATGTGAAAGATCTGTTCCTGAGATGGTAACACAAAGGCTTCATCATTTTGGGTCCTGGTTTTACTTTGCTGTACCCTGAAGCAATTAAATTTAACATATTCATAGGCAACAAAGACAATCACCCCAGAAGTAGACATAGATAGAAGCAGTGAAATTTGGGTAGCAAGAGGGTCCTGTTGACACCACTTCCTTCTACCCTTCAGCACACATGTTAATTTCAAGAGCGAACTAGAATACACCATTACATCTCATTCCTTACTGCCTAGAAAAAGTAGATGGGAAACATGAAATCAGACTGAACATACATGAGAAAGTTTAAGAATGTAACTATATACTGTCTGTTTTGCTAGTCTCTTTTCTTCTATAGCAAACCATTCTTTTTCTTGTTATGTTTTGTTTAACCTCTTTGTCATAGGGTGTGTATGCTCTCCAGAGAAACAGTGAGAGGGAAAGTGAGAAATCACCCCCTAGAGGAGATGGCCATGCTGCAACCCCTGCTCCTCCATTCTCCTCCTGGGATTTCAGGCACATATGCATATCCGCCTGGTGTGATTTTCAAGCTGCCAGTTCTGAGACTTGAAACCGGGTTGGCCATGTGGGAGTCCTGTGCCTTAACCACCATGCCACCTGCTGGCACCTTACTCTTACTTTTTATTTACTTTTTACTTTATCAGTAATATAAGCACAGTATGCAAAGACTAATAATGAAAATCATTTATAATCCCAGCACCTCAACCTAAAGATTGTTAGCATTACAGAATATTTCTATTTGTTTTTCCTATGTATATTTATGTTCTTATAAAACTATGACATATTAATGTACAAATATCAATCATTTTGGATTCTATATTTCATTTTATCATAAGCTCTTTCTCCATGTTGAGGTATAAGTTCATGACAAATGTTGTAATGGTTGTATTAGTCCGTTAAATGGGTGTGTATCAAGATTCACTTACCCATTCTCCAATTAAGACATTTAAACTGCTTCTAATTTTATGCTAGTATAAATAAGATTACAAAAACATCTTTGTGATTGAGCCTCTTTCCTTTGTTTTTGGTTTTGGTTTTGCCATAGGGCATATGTGCTTGCTGGAGAGACAGAGAGAGGGAAAGTGAGAAATCTCTCCCCAGAGTGGAAGACCATGCCACAATCCTTTCTTCTCCATTCTTCTCCTGAAATTTTAGGCATGCATGCACACATGCCCAGTGTAAATTTCAAGCCACCAGGTCCAGGATTCGAACTGGTCAACCATGTAAGAATCCAGCATCTTTACCACTACGCCACTGGCTGACCCTGAACCTTTTTCAATATTGTGGTTTGTTTCCTAATGACAGAATCCCAGAAGTGAAACTAACGGGTCAAGGAGCATAAATGTTTTTAGACAACCTACTAAAAAAGTAAAATAAAACTAGCAAGACACCAGAGCCTCATGAAATTTCTTCTTCATTTAATGAAAAGTTCTACTTCCATTTCTCTACCAGGGCAAAGCAGGGCTCTTGGGAGGGAAAGAAGCCAAGAGAAGCAGTGTAGTATCCCAGTGGCTTGCGCAATGGCAGACTGGAATGTGGGCTCCCCTGTGAATTCAGCTTGCATGCACTTGCCCCAAATTGCCACCCAGCCAAGAAGCTAATTAGTAAAAGCATCAGGTGGGTGAGAACAGGTTCATGGCCTGTAATGGCTATATCATCTTTCGTTTTTGCCCTTGGAAAGATCTGACAGTCAACTTGGAGACATTCAGTTCTAGTGACCCGACCTGCTACATTCTAAGACTTAAATTTGTTAGTTTTCACGTATCAATCTCCAATACATCGTAAAGGGCATTTTCTTGTCTAGAGCTAAGCATACATGACCAATAAGCCTGTGTGTGTGTACGTCTATTTTCAGCCTCAGTTAAGGTGGCACATTTAAGGTCAGTCCTGTTTAATATTATATTACTAAGTGGCACTTGTCTTCAATGATCAATGTGTTATAGATGGAGGTTTATTTGGAGACCCAACCATAAAAGTCATCCAGTCCTAAGGCCAGGGAAGCAATAGGCCAAAGATGCCCCTGGCTTAGCAAGAATAACAGGCATTTCTTTCTGTGGTTTTTAGCCAGAACTCTCAGAAATGGGCAGTTCTGCTTTCCATCTTCTCCTTGAAGGTTTTCCCTTAATCCTTCTCCACCTTCCCTTGATCCCAACTCTGCTCAGTATGGAAAATTAATTCTCTCCTCCCTGTGTTCCTTGAGCACCACTCTATTACAACACTTATCACAGCACAGTTTCTTTACTTAAAAACTCATTTAGGGAGATAAAGACAAGTATCCTCAACAGGATCTGGTCACACCATGATCTCCTTCTGCCAACCCTCCAGCTTACTGGGATCGTGAGCACCAGTGCACTTATGCCTTGCATGTTTCAGGTTGACTTGAGATCCAAACGCATGGATGGCCATATGGCTTCCAGCACTACAGGCAAAAATACCACAGCCTGAACCACCAAGGCTGGGCATCACAATTTCTATAATCTTTATTAAGCAGTTACTATAGCCAGATACTGTGCTAGGTGGGCCCTAGGGTGAAAAAATAAAACAGAGCCCAGTCATCAAGGAGCTCTCAGTCAAGCATGAGAGCACCATGCAATGGGAAAACAGAGGTATGAGCGGGTACCTCTACAAAAATATCCTGAGCTGCCTGAAAAAGCTTTGCAGAGGAAAATGTTTTATGAGCTGAGTAGGAAAAGCAGAGTTTGGTGATCAACATGTCAAAGACAGGCTGAGGGCCAGGCAGTGGCAACAGCAGTGGTGTGACTGGAGCCATATGAGAAGGGTCTTGGATTCATATCCCAGCACCTCACCAGATGCAACAGGTGCACATACATGCCTGTGATCCAGGATGGCTATGGTTGAGGGTAAATCATAGCAGAGAGAGACTGAAGTGTTATCTGTTTCTCTGTAGCTCTCTCTTTCATGGAAGAAATGGATAAAGTTTTGGGGAAAAATATATTGAGATATATCTTTGATAGTCATTAGTATATGGATGACAGCTAAGGACACAGAAGTGGGCTGTACAGTATAGAGTAAGGACAGAATAGAACTAAAGATGAAACTAGGAATGGATCCCTGAAAAACATGATCACTCGGGACCAGCAGTTAGCGTAATGGCTATGTCACTGGACTCCCACGTAATTGACCGTGGTTCACGTCCCGGACCCGGTGGCTTAAAACTCATGCCGGGCGCGTGTGGGTGCCTGCCCAA